TCCCCTTGGCTGTAAGATGATTTTTCCTGAAGGAGTCCTTCTCTGCTTTTTGGTTATGGTCACTGTATGGCCAGTGTTTCTCAGGAGTTGCCACTGCTCACTTTAGGTTTATAGCCCTGAGTAGTAGCTGTGGTCTTTGTTAGGCGGGGGGGGGGGAATCTCCTCTTACCCATAGAAGTTCTCAAGACAGCTGCCCCACTGCTGGGTTTCTTGTTATAATTTGGTGTGCTGCTGCTCACTAAATTTCCAGGTACAGTTCTCTTGAAGAACCTGCTGATTCCCTAGCTGTGGGGTTTTCTCTCAACACGGAAACTCAGACTGTTATCATGGGGCGCACAGTTCTGTCCGGGAAAGTGAGAGATGCACTCAGCAAGTGTCTGGGCCAGAGGCTGAGTTCTCCGCTCTGGGCCTGGAGGATGTGCACCTAGGTTGAATTGGCGCCTGGGGGCGCTGCTCTGGTCTGGAGGCTGGGTGCCTCACTCTGGACCAGAAGCTGTGTGTCCCTGTATGTGATGGAGGCTGCAGGTACTGCTCTGTTCCAGAGGCTGTGGGTGCAGCCCTCTTGAAGGACCCGGGAATCCCACAGTTTTGATTGTCTACCTAGGGATAACTGGTTGATCCTTGGCACAGTATGTGAGGGCTGCTGTAATGGCTCTCTGGTTTTTGTAGGTCTGAGGATGCAGCTGTGTGTCCCAGTGCCCTAGGGGAACTCAATAATGGCGGCTGAGCACAGCGCTTCTGCCTGCATTAGAGCCTAGAGTCTGCTTGAATGCAGGGAGTCTTTTGGTGCTGGGTGTCCTAAGCGTTAGAGATGATGGTCCCCTCCGCTGGGGGTTTCCTCATGCCAGAGACACCCAGTCTTTGCTTTGGGGACCGATGTTCTGTCTGGGGTGGCGAGTAGGACCCACAGGCACAGATGCCCGCTTGTGGCTCCGCCTTTCTGGCCGTTCAGAGCCTTGGCTGCTGCCTAAACTGGGTAATTTTCCCTAGACCGTTTCGGGGTGGGGGTGTCGGCTGAGTGCTCTGAGATCAGACCAACCGTTTCCCTCCCTGTGGGTTTGTACCTGACAGTGAAACGCAGTCTCTGGTGCCCTGGTGCCCACAGTTCTATCTGAGGCAGTGAATCAGGCCCACAGGCAGGGCTCCGTGCAGGCGCCTGGGTCCCGGCTCTGGCTCCAGGCTGGCTCTTGGGGCACCCGCGGAACCCGAGTCTTTTCCAGGGGATGTTTGGGTGACCTGAGGTCGGTCCCAATTGTTTCCTGCTCCGTGGGGTTATCTCTTGACTGGGAAATCCAGTCTATGGTGTTGTGGGCCCACAGTTCAGTCTGGGACAGTGACCAGATCATGCTGGCGTGTAGCTCTGGGCTAGCGACCAAGCGCCTGGCGGAACCCAGATCTCTTCCGCAGTTTAGCCGGGTGAGTTAAAGCTGATTGAATCCCCCACTGTGGGGTATCCTCTCACCTGTGAAACACAATCGCTTGTGTTTTATGGCCGCGAGTTCTGATTGCTGGTCACTGTGCCAATCCTGCTGTGCTTCTCCTCAGAATGAGAGTTCCGACTCATGGATTTTTTAAATTGACAATGAACACTAATTGCTATAATGTCTGACTATTCACGAAAAGTATTTCACAACACACTGGTAACATCCTGTTTCACTATTCTGGCAGATTTTATGAAGTTACCTCACTTACATGTTTAGTTCAAGATTTTTTAAATTAAAATTTTATTTTATATTAATTATAGTTTATTCACCTTGTATCCCAGCTCTAGCCCCCTCCCTCATTTCCTCCCAGTCCCACCCTCCCTCTTTCATTTCCTTCCTTGTCCCTCTCCAAGTCCCCTGATAAGGGAGGTCCTCCTCCTCTATCATCTGACTCTAGCTTATCAGGTCTCCTCAGGACTGGTTGCATTGTCCTCCTGTGTGTCCAGGCAAGGCCGTTCCCTCCTCGGGAGGGAGGGGTCAAAGAGCCAGCCACTGAGTTCATGTCAGAGACAGTGTCTGTTCCCCTTATAGGGTCCCACTTGGATACTGACTTGCCATGAGCTTCATCTGAACAGGAATTCTAGGTTATATCCATGAATGGTCTGAGCAGGGGTTCTAAGTTATATTCATGAATGGTCCTTGGTTGGAGTATCAGTCTCAGAAAAGACACCTCTGCCCAGCTATTTTAGTTTTGTTGCTCTCCTTGGGGAGTTCCTGTCCTCTCCAGGTCTTACTATCTCCCCCCCTTTTCATAAGATTCCCTGCACTCTGCCCAAAGTTTGGTTATGTGTCTCAGCATCTGCTTTAATACCCTGTTGGGTAGAGTCTTTCAGAGGCCCTTTGTGGTTGGCTCCTCTTCTTTTTCCTGTTTTCTCTTTCTTCCAATCTCTATCCCATTTGTCTTTCTGAGTGAGTACTGATCATCTTATGCAGTGTCCTCCATCTTGGTTAGCTTCTTTAGATCAAATATATGTAGAATAATTAAATAATTTGAAACGTTAAGTACTGTAGACAATGGCATATGAAAGATACTGCTGAAAAGTAGAAAACTACCAGAAGAATTTTTTATAAAAGCAAAAAATTCTGTACAGAACTTTTCACCCAAGTACAGATTTTTTCCCTTTAAAAAAAAATTCTTCTTGTAGTTTTCTATTTTTCCACAGTATCCTCCATATGCCACTGTCATCAGTACTTAAAGTTTCAATTTGTTTGATTATTCTACATATATTTCATCTAATAGCACCTTTATAATTATTACACTTTGTTTACATTCATATTTACATTTATATCTAATAACTTTGTATGCATTGTGAATGTGAAGCTACAGCACTCTTATTTAGAGCATATAGCCATATTGGTTTTCAAGGTAAAGTCATGTTTGTTTTGTTTGTTTTTTTAGAATTCTAAGCTGCTCAGGTATCCTTCCCAGTCTTGTAGTTAACTCAGAGCAAGTCACCTATTTCTGAATTCATTTTCTGTAAGTGCCCACACTTGCTTACTGGACCAAGGTTACCAATATGGCAATAAGGAAATAAAACAGGCCAGTTGAATGGGCCACAACAAGACTGAGTCTGTAACAACTTTATTGAGAGAAATTAGATTTTTTATACCATTATCAGAAACAAAATATAGTGTTAATTACCAGGATCAATATAGTTGTAGTTGCCAGGATACAATGATGTTTTCAAACTTTACAAGGAACACAAGATTAGTATCTAATGACAATTGCCTTGTCAAATTTGCATGTTTCCTTGAATTTTAATGGAACATACAGGGAAACACAGAGTGGCCTAAAAGTTTCACTGCCTGAGGGAGTGTGTCAGTCTCTCAGGAACTGAAAGTCACATTGGGTTCCAGAATTCATGGATTCTAAGCTGTAATAACCATTATGCATGCCTCTCAAAGCAGATAAGCCAGACCAACTTCATGATTCCCTGAATTATTCACTTCTGTACATGTTACAGATTCACTTATGCTCTTGTCATGTTCTGATGTTTTTTTTTTATTCAGTATGTAAACAAATTTTTCAAGATAGGCCACACCATATTCTCTGGTATTAATATGCATAATAACTAATCATTCCAATATTATTAATGCCACTGTGACTGTAACCATTTTAGTAATATTAATGGAATTAATATAAAATTACTTTGCATATAAGAACATTATGAATTTATTTTTATATACTAATATTTAATTTTCATCTAATTTTTAATATATTAATCCCATATATGTAAGAAAGATCTAAGATATTCATTTTGAGAATGTTCCAACTTTTGTAGGGTGTCAGCGTTAAGTCTACAAAAATCAATGTGAATTGTTTAGTACAGAATGAAAAAGTTATTGAGGCAATAGTAGAAAAAGTAAGCAACTATATGACAATTTCTCAAGTTTATTTTAGTGAAACAATAGTATTCATGGTTGTTTCTAAACAGAATTTGAAAATACAAGAAATGTGTTACAAAATGGAGGTAGGAAAATATAGAATATACAACAATATGTTACAACTATGGGTAAAGAATTTCTACTCACATACATTGAATTTTCAATGGTGAGTTTGTCAGACTATAAGGCTTTAAAGTATTTTCCATACCATCTGAGGCTTTGGTGTGTATATCCTTTATTAATGCAAAGCCAATCAATGAATTCTACTGTAAACTCCTAAGGCCACAAGAAAAATTAAAATACATTTGTATTATTTTGATGAATTTCATACCAAATAAGCCCTTCATTACACAAGTTAAATAACTTTTACCATGAAATTTCTTTTAAGTGTGCACATTAGTTTCTATGCCATAAAATGTTGTAACTTTTATTTTATGGTGATCTTTTGATTCCAAGAGTAAGATTTACCTATTTTCAGCAGATGTTTTACATTTTTATGGAACTTTGGTTGAGAGAGTTGTCTTTCTATTTATTCTAGAAAACCATATAAATGACATTCCATATTCTAGAAAACCATATAAATGACATTCCAGGGTTTGTTGGTTTCAATTTTGGTATTGTTTGATGAAAGTACTGATAATGGGAATATGAAATCTTCCTAAGATTCAATTAATGGATAATTAACAATTTTATTTTTCAGCACTGTAATACATATTGACATAAATCAACAGTTCTCTGAAATTTCCATATATAATTATTTTGGAGCCCTGTTCTCTCAAACTTATCATCAAACAGATATTGTCAACTAGACCAAGAGAAAACATAAAGTGGAACTTATCAAGCATCTTTAAGGGCAGCTATTTCAAGTGGCTTGTTGAACTTACAATGTCTAGCTAAACTTGTGATCACCAGGTGTTTTGGATAGTATCACTTTTATGTTATCCAGATTAAGGGAAAGTGACTTGGTTCTATGGGAATTACTGTAGCTGATCTAGCCTCTGACTAGACTTGAAGATGAATACATTTGAAGAGGTATCAGAGGTAGTGACAGTAGAAATAGTGAGCTCTGTCTTACTTACTGAGGACACAGAGAGGAACCTTCTTCTTTGCCTTCAGAATGAAGCTGATGAAATGGAAAGTCCTACTGAATCTCAGAATAAAAGGCCTTGTTTGTCTTCTGAGGTTGATTCTACTCTTTGCACGCCAGCTGTTGTATTCCAACTACCAGAAACGGAGCAGAGCTTTAACTTAATCACAACCACAGCCACAGAGGTGGCAGATGAAGAGCTTACTGGGGGAACTATGATGCAGTTCCAGATTTTACAAAATGATGAACCAAATGAAGTTTTTCCCCAGGCTAATGAGGAACAGTCAATAGCTAGCGAAGCATGGTTCACAGGTAAGGAAGAGAAGGATACTCTAACCAAACAAGAGCATAAATGGAAACAAGGGATGTGGTCCAAAGAAGAAACGGATATTTTGATGAGCAATATTGAACGGTATATGATGGAACATGGAGTAAAGAATGCTTCAGAAATAATTTTTAAGATGGCAAAACATAAAAGAAAAGATTTCTACAGGACTATATCATTGGGTCTGAATCGGCCTTTGTTTTCAGTCTATAGAAGAGTGGTCCGAATGTATGACCAGAGAAATCACATGGGAAAGTACAGCCCTGAAGAAATAGAGAAGCTCAAGGAGCTCTGGCGGAAGCATGGCAATGACTGGATAACAATAGGGGCTGCCCTGGGAAGAAGTCCATCTTCTGTCAAAGACAGGTGCCGACTGATGAAGAATGCTTGCAAGGCAGGGAAATGGACCGAAGAAGAAGAACAGATTCTCGGAGATGTGGTTCATGAATTGACATGCACTGAGATGGGAGAGAAAGTAACCCAGGGTGTGTGTTGGGAAACCGTGGCTGAACGAGTGGGTACCCGCTCAGCAAAGCAGTGTCGTGCTAAATGGCTCAACTACCTGAACTGGAAACAGACTGGAGGTACTGAGTGGACAAGAAGAGATGAAGTCACTCTCATCCACAGACTAGCAGAGCTTGATGTAGCGGATGAAAATGAAATTCACTGGGATCAATTAGCTAACGGATGGAAAAGTGTTCGTTCACCACAATGGCTTCGAAGTAAATGGTGGACCATAAAAAGGCAAATTACAAACCACAAGGACTTTGCATTCCCAATCCTAGTAAAATGTCTTCAACAAATATATGAGAGCCAAAATGCCAGCCTCAGGTTTTGGGAGAATGCATCAGCATGTGAAGTATCAGATAGCAATCTTGGTGTCAGTATTCAGCAAGTCCCCTTTGGAGCCACAGGTGTAGAAGATAATAATACATCCATCTGTCCAGTCCCTATGGCAGGAATGCAAATTACACTCCAGGTTGTTTCCAGTTCCTCAACAGATTATCCTGCTGCTATTGTTGACTAAGAAACCATAACTCTGCTGACTGGACCACAGTAGACATTTGAGATTCTCCCATCTTTCCATTTATGCTCCACTCCCTCACCTTGCACCTATTTCCTTCAAACAAGCTCAGCTGAAAGCCTTCTCTTAACTGTGACCACTTGTTCCACAGTAAGCCTCACAGCTGCTGCACCTGCTTTTCCTAATCCACCACATCTTATTCTTTATCCTCCAAAACATTCTGTTGCACACTCTAATCAATTACATAGGTAGTGTTATATACCAGGAATCATCACTAGAACTGTTGCTAAAAATGATTTTTATTTTTTCTATATCCCAAGCAGAATTGACAGTCACTATTGTAACATCTATTTTTCTGATTTTCGTGGACTTGCAAATGCATTCAAAACACAGACATGCCCTGAAAGAATTATTCAGCTGAGATGTCTCTCCACCTCATCATTTAATGATGCTCTGATTTCTAAATTCAGAGACCCAAACAGCAGAGAAATAGTGAACTTAGCTTTGATTCCAGCAGAATTACCTGACATCAATCAACTGTAAGAAGAAAAATAATTACTTTGATTTATTGAGTGCTTGTTACTGAGGAGTTAGTCACTCTTCATAATTCAGCAAGTGCATTAAGCATGTGATAACAAAACCATACTTCATGTTGCTTTATTACCTGGCTTTGTCAAGGCATGGGATTTTACAGGTACTGAATCCGTCTTGCCTTTCAGAAGTCTCATAATCCAGAACCAGTAAGGATCAAATATCATTGGATCCCTTTGTATAATCCTGTTTCTAAAGAATTAAAGGATATCGGACTTGCTAAAATATTATTAACCTATATTTAGGAACATGCAAAGACCCCAAAGAAGTGCTTTAGTACCTGCAGAGGAATAGGATTGATGCACAAGAGACTTGTTTTCTGTTTACCGACTTATTAGGTACAATAGGTTAGCTATGAACATTAAGACTATGGATTTTTCATTACACTATTTTCAATATATCTGAAAAACCATTTTATGACAGTGAGAATTTGAATTGTACATATCCCTATGTTAGCAGGAGAGAATTTTCTTTCACCTCAGCTACTGGAAAGTTTGTCAGTCATCAAAGCTTAACTACAGTAATATTCATCTCTTTACATCAGACATGATACTTCATCCAGTTGCCATGAGGGCTAAATACATTTCAACAAGTCTGAACATTATACTTCAGTGCTTATTGATTACAAATAAAAGGACTTTGGAGGTGACTTTGTGGTGGCTACTCTTGGTTAGCTCATTGCTGGCAACTGGAGCTGATTTCGGGTACAAAAAGAATAAAAGAAAAAAAATTGAGTAAAGACAATTCACTACAATTTTGCTGTTTGCAGTGGGAACATGAGTTACTAACCAAACCACTAGCAATTGAAATGTTTCCACTCATTAGTTTACAGTTTACTAGTTTACAGTTAACACACTGAAGTAAAATTAAATGGAAAAAGATGTACCCTGTCAGTATCTGATAGCCAGTAAATTATATTAGATGCTGTACTATATCAAACACACAGAAATCAAAGAGAGAACTTATATTGTACCCTCATCAGGCAATATGCTACATGAATAGCAATTTTAAACACAGAGGTTACATCTGTATCTAAAGGAACAGATAAATATCCATTCCTACTGTTTATGTATACATTGGCTTTTAGGTTCTAATTGACATGGTTGCTACAAATTAATCACCAAAAGTATACATATACAATTTGATTTGGAAGAATAAGTACAAGGATAGTTAACTATTTCACAAGAATAAACAACAAAAAAGAATAAGCAATATTACTTGAATAGTGAACAATTTGTGTGTATTATTCAGCTTAAGATGAATAAAACAATCTGTTTTAAAGTACAAATGCTTAAGATACATTTTTTTTCTGTGTTTGCTGAAAAATTCTTTCTGCATGAAGTAATGTTTAGAATAATCATGTGGACTTCTGGTAGAGTAACTCAAACATGGGGACCCTTCACATAGTCAAACAGAAGTCTAAGTCAGAATATGGTTGCCACTGATATACTACATAGTCCACTGAGTCAGTCCTTTGTCATGAGAAAATGTTCAGTAGCTGAGGGCACAGTATCTTTTAAGAAAAGTGAAGCACATAACACAGCTTCTCCCCTCTACTCCTCAAGAAATGGATTGCCTGAAAATCAGTTACATATCATAGAGTAACTTAAGAGTAGGAAATACCCTGATCTCAACAAAATTACTGTCAATTTCAGAGTATTAAAATACTTTTAGTCATGTACATTCATGAGACTCTTCTTTCTACATTGCCTGAGGTGAATGCCCATTCGTTTATTTAACCCTTATTTAATGATATTACTACTTACACAACAGAATAAATATATCTTTATCTTTTTCATTTCTCTCTATATGTACATGTGTAGTATATAATGTGCCTATGTATGTGTGCATGTGTGCTTAACAGAACGATTGCAAGTCAAAGTGGCTGCAACAGAGTAAAGATGCTTTAGAGTCAATCCAAGTTATTATAGGTATTAAGTGAACAAGACCAACAAAGGCAAAACAGCTGGTGGAAACTCTCGTGTTAGCTTTAAGTTTGAGGATGTATAGTCCATGGTAAAATGAGTGTGCAGTCACCAAAGCAAGAATCGGGTCACATTCAAGTATACACACTCAAACTATCTACATGTAGACAGTTGAGTAGATTGATCTCCTTGTGGAGTCTTTTCCTTGATGCTTCTACCAGGTAACAAATGCTAGATTCATGTGCATCCATGACATTACAGTTTTACATGTCTCTCATTTTATGGAGTCTGGGTGAGAGAGTTTTACCCTTTCCTCAATTTGCTTTGTTTAGTATGTTCTCTAGCTAGGATCCTTTATATTGGTTCAGTATGCATACGTACCCCCATAGTTCTAACTTGCTCTAACAGTTATGTAAGGTGGAAGTCTTTTTACTCATAGGAATAACTCATTTGTCTGTATTAAAAGGGTAGATCCTGAAAGACTGTGAAGTTTTTGGATGTACCCATGGGCTACAGTCATACCCTTCTAAACAGAGTCAAATGTGTTTGGAAAATGGATTCTCCAAGATCACTGCATGGACTGAGAGGTCACTATTTTATACAATATGGAGTAACTTAGAGTAGGACAGAGTATGATCTCAGCAAAATTACTATTTCATGTATTAAAGGACCTATGACCTCTTTTGATATCTATAACTGAGGATCTGTTTTGAACAAAACCAGAATGGTTATTTTGAGATACCATCTAGACGTTTAGGAATAGGAATTGGTTTTCTGAAAAATAAATAATTAAAAGTTAGGAAATACATGGGGGGGGGATACTTGGAAAGATATCATATGATACTGGAGGAATTATGGTCACTTCTTAGGGTTACTAGTTTTAGTGTATAAAATTAGTTTAAAGAAGGGTTCACAATGAAAAAGGACAGACTCAAGCAGAATTTGAGGAGAATTTACTAGTGTTTTAAAGGAATATCTCAGAGCAGACAAGCTATAAATCTCACAGATCTGAATTTACAGGAATAAAAGTAATTTGATAAACAGTCATAGAGGTGCCAACAACAGGATAATTAGAAAAAAAGGGTGAGGAAGCTTAAATTTGGGAATATTAAACCATAGTTGGGTTATGCCCAGCATCTAAAGAAAAAGATCAAAAAACCCCAAAAGACTACTTATAACTTTCCTAGCAAAAACTCAGAAATATAAACAGACCAAGCAAACCCTGCCAAGGCTCACAGGTGTGTCACTAGGGCCTAGGAAAAATGAGGAGGAATAGTACATCATTTTAAGGTGAATCCATTTTCCCAGGAGTGGTTTGTTAGTCCAGCACTGGCTCACAGTAATAATTACCCTTAAGGGAAGATACAGGGAAATATCTCCACCTAGAGGTAGATTCCGTTCTTTACAGGATTAATAAGTGTTACTTTTGATAAATAATGTGTTTCATGAAAGGGTCTAAAACTTCAACTCTGGAAGTGGGCAATAATAAAACCTGTACACTAACCTCTCCATTCTGTGAGCCTTCTAAAGTCACCAGAGAGGTAGTCTTGTTGTGCATTAAGATGCGTGGGCTCTAGCATAGGAAGATTCAGTATACCTGTCAGTATAACTGTCCCGAAGGTCCCACTTGGCTTGGATAATAGTAGAGAGGAAATTTCCCTCCTGCTATGGAAGACAAGGTTTGACAGTGGAGCTATTTTGACAGTGGAGTGATATAGAATATATTCTTATAACCATCTCTGTGATGTCAATAATATAGTGCTCCTAAATACAGATGTGGAGGTTTATTCTATTGTAATAGCCTAAATAATAAATAAGTCTTTTTCTCTATTATACTAGTTGGTTCATTTGCTTATACACTTACATTTAACTGTAAGTTCCTTTAGATTTTAACTCAAAACTTTCACAGCCATATTCAGTACTATTTTCTGAGAACAATGTGGTTGAGAGCACTGTCTGTTTTTCCAAAGTACCCAGGTTTGATTCCCAGCATGCACATGGTTGCTCTCAACTCTTAGTAATTCCAATTCCAGGAAGTTTGGTATTGTCTTCTAATTTCACTGAACACCAGGCACACACATGTTTTATATATATATATATACATGCATACATATAGAAGCAAAACACCTATCAACATCTGTTATGCCAGGTTCACGGGACTCTCAGAGACCACCAGGAGAAGACTCCATGCAATTGCAAGAGAGCTTTATTACGAGAGCGATCGAACTCGGGACCCAAGTCTCACTGGCACAGCAGTAGAGAAGTGGGACCCCGAGCTCTGAGTGAACAGGATTTTTAAAGGGAAAGTCTGTGAGCCGGGGGTTTCCATGGCAGCAAGCAGGGGGGCACAAGCCTTGGCGTTACAGAATTGGGTGAAGTTTAGCAGAGCTGGGTGACCTTTTCTGAGGCACATAATCACAACGGCTAAGGCATATAATCACAATGGCTATTTTTCTAAACCATATCTGAAACATTGGGGAGAATTTT